CAGACCCATCTCATGTGTTTATCAAAAAGGAGATTGACAATATGAAAAGCAGAGAAGGTGATTGAGGGATAAAATTAGAAGCATGATGAAGTTGGATGAGACTGTATAAAAGGGGGGCTGGTGTGCATGCCTGAAAGAAGGAACACGCACATGGAAAAAGCATTCATTTTTTAGAATGGTTAGAAAAATGAAATCTTTCTGTCTGAGTAGAGATGGAGAGCGGGGGAGAGGAGGAAAAAGGGTGGTGTTACTCTGCTTCAGTGCCAGCCACAATCTTGAAGCAGGTTGATGTTTCAAATAATCAGCTGAGAAACAGTGAATCAATGCTAACATTTAATAGTCTCTATCAGCCTAGAGTGTTAACATCACCAAGTTGAATGGGGCAACTCACACCTCTCAGCGATATTAACTCTAACTCTTAAATTCTGGAAGACAGCACTAGATCCTTTCGTGTTTGGAAGAATGTCTTCACTATCACTAGTAATAGAAAGGTAGCCCTGAATTCTCATTTACATTACAAATCTGAACTGTAATAATTATACATAGTTCTTTAATAGCACTTTTCTCGCTGGGTCTCAAAATGTTTTATAATGGAGGTCAGCATGACAACTGCCATTTTACAGACAAGGAAACTGAGGTACAGAACAAGGACATGACTTGTCCCAAATCACTCATCTGGCAGTGCCAGAGCTGGGAAGAGAACCTATGGCTGAGTCCCAGTCAAGTGCTCTATCCAGTGACCATGTCACTTGATCATAAAGACGCAGCTAACCTCCTAGCAGTCCAGTTAAGTAATTCCATTTAAAATAACACAGTAAGCTCACTGATACTGTGGTAAGGGACTGAGGTTCACTGCAAGAGCTGCCAAATTAAAAAGCTGACACTATGATTTATTTTTTTAAAGAACAAGACATGTTGGTTGTCCTGTGTTATGAAGTTACTACTGACATCGTTTCAGAACAAGCCATTTCTCCTTCCTGGTTCTCATGGTCACATAGTCATTATCTAATGAAGTCTGTGGGCATGTCTTCCACTTTCCTGGACTTCTTTTAGTTCCTACTTTGTTGGGGGGCAGGGTGCAAATGGGAAGAAGAGCCAGTGATTGTCTCTTACCGTAGCTCCTTCTGCTTCTGCCGGATTTCTCTGGATTCAGAATGTCCATGGTCCAGCAAAGTTTCTGCCAGCTGCTGGCAAGCGACAACTCTCTTCGCAGCCATTTCTATCTGGTGCTGGAAGGTATCATATTTGGCACAAAGATGCTTTTGAAAGAGGAACAAAAATCAGGGCTCAGACTTCACTTGGGAAGCTAGTGTTCCACAAATCCACATGGATATCTGCTCTGCAGCCTACTGAATACAGCCTAATGGCAGGTGATTAGCTGGTGACCTTTAGGAGATGAAGCTTGACTGTGACTAAATAATTTTATTCCAAGAGGCAATAGCTAAAAAAATGCAAGAATGCTGCTAGCTCCTTGATGCAGGTAGGAAGCTGAGAGCATGAGGCAAATGATAGAAGCATCCAAAAATAAAAAAGAACTTGGACACCCGATCAAACTTATTGCAAACATACAATGAAAACGGAATTGACTTGCGTTCATATTATTAATTAATATATTCACAAGATATCAATACAAAAATACATTCAGTGCTAGATTTTCTGTCAGCTTCAGTCCAACCTCCGTATTTATGGACAGTTTTGCACAAGCTAAAGATTTTAAAATATGGGTGTATAAACGAAGGATCTGAAATAAATGGCATGACTTTCAAAAGTGCTGAGCAACTCACAGCTCCTACTGATTTCCATGGCTGATGAAAACTGATAATTAGATGTCTACCCATTAATATCTGTGACCAAATTCTAATTAGACACTACTTTAAATATCTGGTGATCAAAATATAGAGTGGACCTGAGTTACATTGCTTAACTCTGAGACTGGATCCAAATCTGAATTCCCCCAAGCATAGGTCTTTCCATATTTGGTATTTCAGTATGGCTCATTACAGAGAAAGGCCCAAGTCATGGGGCTCAGATTCAGTCCTGTAATCAGTTACAAAATTAACTCGGACATTTTTGTGGTAGGAGTAGGAACCATAGTTCTGATTCTGGCTCATCTCCCATTGAAAAATCATTCATTAATGTTCACTATGAGTTTTGAGAACCTTGGAAACCATAGGCTGTATGTTATGAAATAATGTGATGTAAATGAAATAATCTCGAGCTGACTGGCAGGGCTAGAAATTCCACCATGGTCAACTAGTACCAGTTAGTACTGTCCTCTTAATAGTAGTAATCTCTGAATGGTGAATATCATCCTTACGCGGAAGGTCTACACAAGACCTCTTTGGCACTTACATGGTACTAAGTTATAACAGCCTTTAATGCTACTGCTTCCATTTTTTCCCTTTGGAAATTTTTCTATTACAATAAAATTCAGTGATTGATCAAAGTCCATCCTTTATTCTCCAAACAGGGTTCAGCACAGTTATGTTATGGTGAATGAACCACCTGAGATGGGACAAAGCCCAGTCTCCATGGTCTATTCAATCCATGCACTAGCAACAACAGTGCCAACTGTGTTGGTGTTTTTTGTGATGTAGACACTTGTCTGCTAGGTACTGAATGAAGACCACGATAGACAGCCCACTCCTACTAAGGTCTGCCCTATTGAATCTAACTTAGTCAGCCACCCAAAATATCAGTGTTTCAGAAAACCAAGTCTCACACCAAATAGTTTTTGAACATTTATACAGAGAACCCTTCCTTTTGAAGTCTTCCCCTCAGGCTTGCTTCACAAATCTTAATTAAACCTTCTTCTCAGATCTATCTCATTTCTCTTTACCTCTCCCAAACTATTCCCAACTCCTTTTATTGGGAGCCAGCTGCTGCAGTAAATCAGCACTCACTTTGCTCTTTTTTAGCCAGCTCCTCTGTTCTCAGGATGGATATGTTAGTCAGCCCTGCCAGACTGGTACAGCCAATGGAACTATTTCATTTTAGCACTTTCCTTCCTCCTCCTCCTCCTCTCTTCTACACCATCTCCCAAATAGTTACAGCAAGTTCTCACACTGCTTTCACAATTTTCACCAAAAATGTCATACTTTCCAGAGACAAAGTGGATAAGGCAGGTATAGGACCCATGAATCTTGAAAGGTGTGTTGTGGGGCATGTTGATCACTGGAATGTGTCTAATATATTTGGAATGCAATGGAAATGTGTCTAACATGTTTAATAGTGATAGAAATGTAGCTGTGTTGTTAGTCTTTAAAGTTCTACATAGTCCTGTTTTTTCCAAAATGTTTAGCATCTGTTGTTCTGGGACAATCTGGCCACACTTTGACCAAATATCTGATGGGATGCAGGCTGTGGGAAGCTTGCTTCTGATGATGACTATGACTTTGGAGAGGTTTGAGTGTTGCTGGAAGGCACAAGAGGGAGTTTGGGAAAGATTTTTTCAGGGCTGGTTCCTGTTGAGTATGGGTCATAATGACTTAGTGATACCCTGTATGGATTCCAACTGAGAATGACTGGTGTGCAGTCAGAAGTTTTTTTTTCCTTTATACACAGACACGTTCCTTATATTTTTACAGGTAAACTTTGCTTGTGTTTGGTACCATTAACTCACCAGGACATGCTCATAATTACTGCCATAATCATCAGAGCTGGCCACCTGCCTCTGTTGACTGATCCAGTCCTGCAAGTCCTCATACTCCCTCAGATACTCATGCAGACCAAGAGTCTCATCTAGCTTCTTCCCTCTGTTTAGAAAGGGCAAGAGGGAGAAAGTGGAATATAAATACCTATACAAGGCATAGAAGAAGGAAGGAAGAGAAGGAGGGGCTCTCTCCAGGAAAGAAAACTAGATTCAATCTGAGAGTTATCTCACAATAACTTCGAAGACTGAAATCTAGTTTAAAGGATGGTAGCCAGTAGCCTTGTCAGCCTCTCTACCATTCTCCAGGACTGACTAATTGAACTTTGTTCTGATACTAATGACAGCACAGGACAATTTCCTCCATTTTTTCCTAGTCGTTCAATGTTTCAACTTTTTGTGAGGAATCAGGCTGAAAACAATTGTTGGAGTATCAGAATTGCCTCCTCAAATTCCAACTTTCAACCAGCTTCTCTCATTGATAATCTTACAAACCTCCCAAGCTCTCTCAATGACATATCAGTGAGGCAAGAAATTCAACAATTCAGGTAGATATTTGCTTTTTCCTAGTAGTAAATTTGGACAATCTAGAAATCATAGGCATAACCCAACTCTCTTGGTTTTGAGCTTCTTGTCATTAATGGGGGAAAGGGAGCAGAAATTAATACTGACAAAAGCCCTCTTGTATTAAGAAATCATCAGACTGGAGGGAAGGTGTAATTCTAACATTACATCTGTCCATTTGGGTATCACACCAAGAAAACAATAGGCCCCACTTCCAGGAATACAATTCCTTTGTTCCACCTCTGAAGTTAGACTCCAACAAGTAGGCAGATGAGAAAATGTGAGAGATAATCCAGCATTCAAAATCACTTTGCTCAAGGATAAAAACCAGGGAAGGTAAATTGTAAGGAATTTGCATATTCTACAGTAAAGAAGTCTTACTAGATAGCTCAAGTTCAACAAATGTACAGAGCCCCTTCTGTATTATAATTTGTGCTGCACAAGATACAAATATAGACAGTCCATTTTCTGGAGAACTCACAGTGAAACAGATAAAAGAAATAAGGGGCATGATCCAAAGCCCATTGAAATCAATAGAAAGACTCCACTGTCGGCAATGGCCTTTGAAAAAAAGCCAGGAGGCAGTAAGGGGCAGCCAGGGAGGTAGTAGAGAAGTATTTTTCAAGCCAATACCTTACTGTGGTCAGCTCCACTAATTCTCGGAGCTTAGAATGAACTTGTTCTTGTGGGGCATCAACCTCATCAAACTTTATGGAGCCGGGGAGAGGAAGAGTTTTGGCAACTGTTCCCAGTTCAAGCACCAAATTTTCGTAAACCTCCATTTCTTGTTCCAGTGCCTGAGAACAAGAAGAAAATAGCAGAGTAAGTTATCCAGCATCTACAGACTTTTAACCTGGGCAGCAGCCTCAGCCATATCCAAAGGATCAATCACAGATTTCCATAACAGTATATAGGTTTTCCCCTGACAGAAACATTCTTAGTTAATATTTTGCTAACTTTTTGGGAAAAATGCAATACCTAAACAAATAATCATAATTAGAGAGGCTTGCTACATGGCTGGAAAGAGAAAGCTATTCCTGGAATAATGACAATTCTATCTCTATTTTCAATCTGGAGCCAGGTAGGGTATCCTTTCTCGCTTTGTGATTAAACAGTTCACAGCAATACATAGTTGGTGCTTTGTCTTACAGAAATGAGACCCCAGATCCTTCAAATGTGTTTTCCAAGTCAAGCCTTTCCCAATGCAACAGTACATTAAATTTGAATCCAGACAGACAAATCAATCCTGAACTGCAGACATGACAACTTCAAGCAATTGAAAATACAATATAAAATCCTCTGGATGGTCAGCCTCCTTGCTGATCAGAGCAGTAGAAAACTTCAGACAGACTATTTGGCAGACCATGCCACCACTACAGAGATTTAAGCCAGCACTGCTTAAGAAGGAAACCTTCCCTGACACTAACTTTGGGAAAAAGCAAGTAAGGGAGAGAAAGAGAAATAAACTGATGTCTAAAGGTGCAGAGAAAATATTTTTCCATCCATAAACTCAAAAGAGATCCTTTTCATGCCCATGGGATGAATGACCCAGCCTCCTTTGGCATAAGAGACGTCACCCCTGTTCATTTTAAAACTTCTACCACCCTGGGGTTGGGCGTGCAAAGTTCTTTATGTGCCTATTAAAGAACAGATGGGTCTCCTGCATCTCTACCCCTTGCTTTCTAGCCTTTGCCCTGAACATCCTGCATCCTGAACATACTTTCAGTTGAGAGACTGGATAAGAAGTCCCCAGCAGCCTGCATCAGTGCTCTTTAATCAGTCTGAGTTAGTGGTGTTAAACAATGTAGGATATTTCTTTTACTCCCCGGGTCCGTGTGCACTGCCTCTATGGCACTCCTAGACACTGCTATTCCAAGGAATGACACACAAACACAAAGAAAACGTTTCTTTTACACCACTGCTTTATCTATAAGAGCCAGCTTTCTCCAAGACACACCATCTCCAAACCCTTTAAGTCAAGATCTTTCCTACTGTTCACCCCAAGCAGGCTTCTCTGACTCGCTAAGAGGAACCTCTCTCATCTGTGAACAGTCCATGCTGCATCCCTCAAGAATAATTATATGGGCAGTAATGCTCTGTTACCTTGTGTTTCTTGATGAGTTTCAGGGTTGCAGCCTCATCTTTCCCATAGTCTTTGCTGGTCACAGATGGAAGTTTTTCTGATACCCAAGTCTCCAGGTCTGAGGTATTCAGTAAAAACTATCAATTAAAAACAGTTATTTGCCTCAAAATATTAATGTTTTCCCTTCAGTCTGATAAATTCTAGCTGCAGATCGCACTATAACATCAACTGTTCCTTTGGGGTCAGTCTGAAGAAATCCAGTTCTGGATGACATCATGATCTTCATTGTTTCCACACATTCTAGACTGCAAGATTCTCAGACAATTGTGAGCGTCATTTGTGCTCAGTAATAGATGTAGGGGCACAGAGGGTTAGCTTTTAGCTTTCTAATGTGAGAAGATGCTCATTAAGGGCATGTCTATACAGCAGGGAGGGCTAAAGCAGAAATAAGCTACACAACTTGAGCTATGTCAATTGTGTAGTTTAAGTCAAAATAGGTTATTTTGGCTTTTGGTGCTATCTCCACAGCAGGAAGTCAAATGAAGAACACCCTTCCTTCAACTTCCCTTACTCCTCATGAAATGAGGATTACCTGAGTCAGAGTAAGAAGTCCTTCGGCTCAACATTATTTTGACAGTATATTGAAATAACTGCTTGTAGTGTAGACACGGACTATGGTATTTCAGAATAACATTAGTTATTCTGAAATAACACTGCTGTGTAGATGTACCCTGAAATAGCAGATTAAACTACAGGGACTGGTATTGTTGCTGCCTGCTATATACTAGAAGAATATTGGACGCACTGTGGTATCAATTTATGTGCAGAAGGACAAAGCCAGAAATGGTGCACCTCCTTTTAACGGAGGTCTCTTCTGGGGTATTAAACCCCAGCTCTTCCCCTCCACACCGGTATCCAATATTCCGTGCCTTCCCCTGACCTTTTCATTGCTGGTGGCTACTCTATAACATCAACCCTGTACTTAAATGCTCCCCTTTTTTGAGATCTAAGTATTTTATAAATATTATAGGGTTTTATACCACTTAGGCAAAGTGTTATACCTCTTTCACTAATGGTGAAAATGAGATGCAGATGTGGCCAGATTACCACTGGCAAGTGCCTGAAGTGTGCCAGCAAACTTTGTGCATACCCTCCTGTGCAAAAATTTTACATGCAAATTAGGTTGCTGCCCTGCTAATTACGCATTTATGTCAGACAAGCCAGAAGATATTCATATGCAATTGTCAACAGGCTCATTTTAAACACTTGCCTTTGAAATTTTGGTCCATTACCAGCATGGGCTAGTAAGGGAACATGTGTACCCCATGTGCACCACTGGAGGAATCTATTATACATAGGGCCTGATCCAAATCCCAATGAAGTCAAAGGAATTCCCTCCAATGACTTTAGAGGGCTTGGGATAAGGCCCATAGACTGAAGAGGAGGGCAGAGATGATGGTGAAAGAAGAGTAGACCAGGCAGGAACCGGAGGATTTGCAGTGGCATGAATCCAGCTGTCCTACCTCATTGAGTGAGTGGTGGAGTGTCTGATAGGAGACATTGCTACAGCTCTGGATCCTGACCCACTTCCCCAGCCCAGCCCACCACTCAAATCACTCTGGTTTTATGTGGAAGAAGCACATTTCAGTCCTAATGGTATGACATCTTAAAACAGATTTGCTCTTGGTGTCAATCACTGCAGTCTCCTCTCAGCCTGAAAAAAAGTTGGTGATACTTTGTTTATCCCATACCTGCTGGAAGGCAACCGAGTGCTGCAGCTGTTTCAACCTCTCTTCACATGCCTTCTCCAGCTCCATCCAGCTGGTGCTGAGCTCCTGGCATTTCTCCTTTATTCTCTGAAATGCAGAGTGCTTGCACCCAATCATAGCCTCACCCTTCTCCAATACCCTCTGAACTTGCTGTTTGTGGGCATTCACTTCTGCCTGTAATTCCTAGAGGGCGGGAGGAAGGGAATACCAATAAGCCAGGGCAGGAAAGTATGCAAGAAAGTGGAGCAAAGCTGTTAGATGTGAGAGATTATGGGATGCATAAAAGTACAAGATGCAGTGGGTCTCTATCAAGGGTGGGCAAATACCAACCTGCGACCCAGATCCAGTTTGCCCGGGCCCCCACCACTTTATATATATGCTTCAAAGGAGGTGCTGGCAAGCACAGCTCTCATTGGCCGCAGATTGCCCTTCCCAGCCAATGGAAGCTGCAGGAAGTGGTGTCCCAGTCTGGGCCAGGAGCAGCAATCTGTGGTAAGCAGGAGCTGCAGCCATGCAGATAAATATTGCAGCAATGGCCTGTCAGTGGCTAACCCTGGTGAACCGCTGCTGTGTTATTGCCCTCCCCTGATTCAGATGCTTGCTTAAGATGAGTTACTTCTGGGGCAACCTACCAAAATGCAACTTTCTGTTGTCAACAACAGAAGGACATGCACATCAGAGCCTAGTTTGTCAACATGATGCTGTCTGCCCAGGCTAGAAAGCAGCAAGGCTAACAGATATATGTGAAAGACAACTAAAACAGCCCAAATCAAAATTCCACAGAAATCTGATTCTGTTACACTGTCATTACACAGTTACCTTGCTGTCTTCAAAAGTTTTTATGTCAGGCATAACAGTACAGTGAAGTTTAAATATCTGTTTTATGTTGCACGGAGCCTGCCGTGTGCATGCATCTCACTCTAACTCCCTGATGAGAACCATTAATTAGATAGCTAAATACAAGAAAGCAAGGAATAGCAATAGTATTTCACTCAGGCAAAAGCAAAATCATTCATTATATTTAGTGTGTGATGCATCAGCCTAAGAATTTTTAATGGAAAACTAGTGACTATAATAGTGCGAGAAGAAAGATTCCTGCAGGAATGGGTAGATACTTCAGCTTCAGCAGAAATTCCAGGTTCATGCTGTAAATCTGGCATTACATGGCTGGATCATATGCATGTATCAAGCTATTGGAATTACTTAACTGGGACAGTGTCCAATATTTAGCTCTGGAGATTGCTAGGGAGAGTTTAGCTTTATTTGCAGTTTTCTCTTTTTGCTTAGTGGGCTCATCTGTAACAGCATTTTGGGTTAGCAAATTGGGTGGCAAATGTAGCTATAGGTTTCTAGGTGTGGCGGCGGAGGGGGGGGGCAGTAGCGTGCCTGGTGTACTCTTTGCTCCCCCTCACACCTAGAGTAGGGGGTAACAGAACGGCGTTACCTTGTGTTTGTGTAGCAGGCTTTGTGCCATATCCAAGGACCTGCCACAGCTGGTGGAGTTGGCAATGAGCAGTCGTTCACTGATCCAATTCATCTCCATGTCGTAGTAATGGTAGAACTGGTACAGATCCACTGCTGCCTGCAGCAGCTGGTGCCTCTCATCAAGAGGCACCTGCAAAGACTGAAACCTGAGGATCAGATGTTAAAATGGAGTTATCCCCAAAGTCATCTGAAGGAATCGCCTGTGATCCTGCAGAATAGACTGTAACAGGCCAGACACTTTTCTATGCTACTAAATTTCCTTGGCTGGCATTCGACACAGAGTGCCTTCCTGATAAGGCTGCTTTAGGGACACATATCCCTATGTAATTTATGTGATATGGGAAGTGTACACTTTATACAGGAGAACAGGCAGTGCTATATTTATCAGCGTGCATTTGGTACACTTGCACAGGGCCCCCAACACGGGGGCGGGGGGAGGGTGGGCAGAGATCCTGACAACAGGGTTAAAAAACAACCAACCCACACACATATCCAGAAAAACAGCAACCCAGGGCCAGGAAAGGGACAGGGCATGGCAGCAGGAGGACTTGGCCCACATATTGTGGCAAAAGAATGGGTCAGAATGGGGAGTGAAGCCAGCCCTGTGGGACAGGAGTCACTGCTGAGGGACTTCAGGGTGGGCACAATTGCCTCTGCAGGGTCTCCCACCCCCATGGGGGAGTAGCCAGTCCATACCACCTGGGGACACCCACCCTACTATGGCAGGCCCCCCATTACCATTGTGCACAGAGCTCTAAAATTCTTTAATCCAGCCCTACAAACAGATTGAGGAAGCAGGAGTAGTTTAATATCCTCTCTAAACTTTCAATTCTGCACCATCTTAACCATTGTTGGGAAGAGAAGAAATTGAATTTACTTTTCAACATTGTTATTGCATTAAATTAGTCTGTGGGAGAGGAGGATGAGATTCATTTTTGGACATCTTGGTTCAAACCATCCTAATTAACAAGAAAAATGAGTTGTAATAGTCTGAACCTAGTTCCTATTAAATGCTGGACCACCTCACAGTTTAGCATAAAGTTGGTTGGATCAGCAAGGAAGCCAAGCACTGGAATGGCAGTTTTGCAGATCAGGATTGAGGGTCACTAGCAGAACCTGAGGCAGGGGAGCAGGCAGTTGTAGAGCTGAAGTGTGTTACCATAGTTTGGTGGCAGAAGCTTGTAGCAGAAAGAATGCCTGGCTGGCTGAGAGACAAGTCTTTTCCAGTGGTTAGAACAGGAAAGGAGGAATCAAGAACCAAAGTTTTGTTCCCGTCTCTGTGGCTAATTCTTTTCTCCCAACAACTAAGAGAACATCTGCTCACCTTTCCAGATATTTCTGTGTCTCATCCAGAATGTTCTGGGAATCAAAGTGATTGGTTGCCATTTTCTTGGCATGGGACACAATGGAATTCATTTTCTCAGCCAGCTCCCCCGTCTCCTTCTCCAGTTGACTGTGCTGCTTGAGCAGATCGCGACTGGAGCGCAGGTCATGACCTGTCTCAGCATCCCGAAGAACCTTCTCAATTTTTTCAATCTTCTCTTTTGCATCCTACAAGGAGCAGATGAACATGTGCTACCTCAGACCTAGCCATATGGGCTTTCTTCAACTTTTCTCTCCATTCAGTCCCTCTCACAAGCAGGTTCTTCTGCTTTCTACACTCTACTTTGCAAATTCTCTCTCGGTAGAATAAAAAAGAGGGTTCTCTAAAGCTGAAACATCTTTTTGGAACATTTTGAGGCATACGTTTTTTCACCTGGCTATCCCTTTCCCAGCCATTTGAACAGATTTCCCAAAATCCAACCCTTTAAATACTTTAGGTGACAAAATGTTTTCAATATCTTAACACTCCAAGATCTATGACTGTTGAGTTCCCTTAAATGATGCTAGTGTACAGTTTCACAGCCAAGTGTCTTTCTCATTCCATTCTCCCTGGTGTGCTGAAGCCATGTAAAACTACCTGTGTTACAATTATTTCTTAGGTGCTGGAAAAAGCTAAA